CAGTTGTGTGTGACCGTGCCCTAATATCACCTGTTGGCCTCTGATCTTACCAGCTGCCAACCTGACCAAGCTAGGACACGTTATGAAGTTGAAAAGCTACTTCACGATCGGAGAATACCGACGTACGGTGGATTCTTTAATGGACCTCTCGACCCATCCAAGAATTATGCCCGCCATCTTTGGTGCTGTCAGCTCTCAAGAAGGGCGATGTATACAAAAAGAAATGGTGCGTTTTAAATGCCTATATGCATATGCACGCAGGCCACAAAACACATAATGTAAATGTAATAATTATAAGTCAAGCCATCAAGGCCATCTGATCATATTTTTGCATTGACTAATGAAAGCCTTGTAACAATGTGCGCCTTCATGGCCCAATCAAAGTACCTGTCATGCTTTGTATTAGCATCAACATAAATCATACATGGTTGTTGCTTGCTGTTATAGTTCACCAAGCGTTGCATACAGTGCATTCAGAGAGGAGGAGAATGACAAAGTACCTCTCGTCGTAGGTGAGTGCGTGACAGACACGTGTGTTCAAAGTTGTCGTCCCAAGCAGTAGACGCTATTGTCAAAAAACCTGTCACAACATGCGTAATCGACTCAATCGACATCGGGGATAAATTCCCCCGATTACCCAACACATCTGAAATCCCCGAGGGAATCCTGTCGCTCATTCACGCCTGGTCGTCGTTACAGATGGCAGCAGCCGTGAGGACGGGCCGTGGATGGCGAGTGGAGCGCGGCGGCGTGCCTCCCCGGCGCGCGCGACAGCAAGAGAGGAGTGAAGATCTTTTGGGAGGGCTGATCGCGGTTGCTGCCTGTTCGCCGTTGCTCGCCGTTGCTGTCATCTCCTCTTTCTGCGCCGCTCGTCTACTTCAAGCGGCGGCCGAAGCTGGACGAACAGGAGCTGACTCGCACCACGGAGCGTGCAGGCAATCAGGGTAGGGGTAGGATCAAGGTGGGCGTAGATCAGGGTGGTAGGATTCAGGGTGGGTGTAGGATCAGGGAGATGGTAGGATCAGGTCGTAGGTGTACGGATTAGGGTGGGTGGCAGGCATCAGGGTAGGTGGTCAGGATCAGGGAGGTGGTAGGATCAGGGTGGGGGTGGCTAGGTTAGGTGGTAGAATCAGGGTAGGTGCGTAGGATTAGGTGCCGGTGGCAGGATCAGGGTAGGTGGTAGATACAGGGTGGGTGTAGGATCAGGGTGGGTGTAGGATCAGGGTTAGCGTGCGTAGGATCAGGGTAGGTGGTTAGGATCAGGTGGGTGGTAGGATCAGGGTAGGTGGTAGTAATCAGGGTAGTTGTGATTAGAGTAGTTGTAGGATAAAGATAGGTTGGTAGGATTAGGGTGGGTGGTTAGGATCAGGTAAGGTGGTAGGAATCAGAGTAGTGTGTAGGGATCAGAGTAGTGGGTAGGATCAGGTGGTATGGGGCTAGCGTCATCGGGTAGCGTGGTAGGCATTAGGGTGTGTTGGGTAGGACAGGGTAGGTGGTAGGATTTAGGGGGGTGGTAGGATCAGGGGTGGGGTGGTCAGGATGCAGGAGTACTGTGGTAGGGATCTGGTAGGGTGGTAGGATCAGGGTAGGTGGTAGATCAGTGGTGGGCGGGTGTCAGGATTCAGAGGTAGCGTGGTAGTATGCAGGGTTATTGTGATTAGAGTAGTTGTGGATCAGGGTAGGTGGTAGTGATCAGGGTGGGTGGTAGAGATAGGGATAGGTGGTAGGATCTGAGTAGGGTGGTAGCAATCAGGGTAGGTGGTAGGATCAGGGTAGCGTTAGGATTAGGGTGTGTGGTCAGGATCAGGGTAGGTGGTGAGGATCTAGGGTGGGTGGTCAGGATCAGGGTGCGGGTAGTAGGATGCAGGCTAGGTGGTAGGATCAGCGTGTGCGTAGGGAGTCCAGGATCGGTGGAGATGTAGGATTAGGGTGGGTGGTCAGGGTGAGGGTAGGGTGTAGGATTAGGCGTAGGTGGTAGGATCAGGGCGGTGGTTAAGGTCAGGGTAGGTGGTAGCATCACGGTGGATGGCAGGATCAGGGTAGGTGGTAGGAATTAGGGTTGTGTGTCAGGATTCAGTGCGGTGTAGGTCGGTAGGTGTCGGTAGGTGTAGGGCTTAGGTGGTGTAGGATGCAGGGTAGATGGGGATAGGGAGTGTGAGTCGAGAGGTGATAGGATCAGTAGGTAGGTGGTAGGATAGGGTCAGGTGTACGATCAGGGTGGGTGGTAGGATCAGTAGTGTGGTACGTATTGGCTGCGCGTGGCAACGATTTCTAGGGGGAGTCAGTGTTTTGAGTAGGATCAGGGTAGTAGTGAGTTAGGTATGGGTCGTGCAGACAGGTAGGGTTGGTAAATCAGGCGTAGGGTGGTAGGGGTATCGGGTATGGGTAGATCAGGTGGAGGATCAGGGTTAGGTGGTAGGATTAGGGTGCGGTGGTAGGATCAGCGCGTAGGTGGGTCAGGATCAGGGTAGGTGTAGGATCAGGGTAGGTAGTAGGATCATGGGTAGGTGTAGGATCAGGGGTAGGTGGTAGGATCAAGCGCGTGAGGGGTAGTATCAGGGTAGGTGGTAGGATCAGGGTGGGTGGTAGGATCAGGGTAGATGGTAGGATCAGGGTAGGTGGTAGGATCAGGGTAGGTGGTAGGATCAGGGTAGGTGGTAGCTTCAAGGGTAGGTATGCGTGCGATCAGGGTGGGTGCTGTAGGATCAGGGTAGGATGGAGATCTCAGCGGTAGGTTGGTAGGATCAGGGTTAAGGTGGTAGGATTTGAAAGGGTGGGTGGTAGGATCAGGGTGTAGATGGGTAGGATCAAGGGTAGGTGTAGGATTAGGGGATGCGGTGGTAGGATCAGAGGTAGATGCGTAGCGCATCAGGGTAGGTGGTAGATCAGGTAGATGGTGGAGATCAGGGTAGGTGGTAGGATTAGCCGGTGGGTGGATAGATCAGGGTAGTGTAGGATCAAGGGGATGGTCAGGTATCAGGGGTAGGTGCGTAGGATCAGGTAGGTGGTAGATGCAGGGTAGGTGGTAGGATCACGCGTGGATGGTTAGCGATCAGGGTAGTGTGTAGGATCAGGGTATGGTAGGATTAGGATCAGGTAGGGTGGTGGATAGGGTATAGTTGTGATTAGAAGTAGTTAGTAGGATCAGGGGTAGTGGTAGGATCAGGTGGGTGCGTAGGATCACGTGGGATGTTAGGATCAGGGTAGGTGGTTTAGGATCAGGAGTAGGAGGTAGTAGGAATCAGGGTAGGTTGTACGATCAGGGTAGCGTAGTAGGATCAGGGTAGGATGGTAGGTCAGGGAGTCTAGCAGGGTAGGGCTTAGGATCAGGGTAGGTGGCCAGGGATCAGGGTAGGTAGTAGGATCAGGGTGGGTGGTAGGATCAGGGTAGTTTTGATTAGAGTAGTTGGTAGGATCAGGGTGACAGTAATTAGGGTAGGTGGTAGGATCAGAGATTTTCGAGACTGGACCGAGCTCAGGACCGTGCGGACCGTGCCCAGCACGCGCGTTCCCCGCGATCCAAATTAACGTAAAAACCAGTGGCACCCTCTCTACCGCAGGACGCTAACGGCGAGATGAGCAGCCTTGTGTTTCTTGGCGACGACGACCAGCTCGACCCGACGACCTTCTACCACGCGCTCAAGGACCAGTGCTGGCTGATACCGCAGGAGAGCCTGCGTCTCGGCACGGACGAGCTGGGTGTGGGAAAGTTCGGCGAGGTGAAGAAGGCGAAGGTGGCAACGCCGGGACGCGGCGTGACGGCGGATCTCGTGCCTCTCAAACGTAAGACGACGTGTACCTGGTGCTCGCGTCAGCAAATGAAGCCACGATTTCTCACACTTTGATGTTACGTGACGTTTATATGACGTATAATTATGTAGATTTGTGTAACAAATCTACATGAATATGATGTATGACAGTGTATGACGTATATATACGTTGATATGATGTATAATTATGTAGATTTATGTAATAATCTACATAAATATGATGTATGACATATATATATATATATATATATATATATATATATATACACGTTGATATGACATATATTATGTGACGTGATGTGCCGTGGATCTGGCCTCGTGCTAGTGATTGAAACAGATGCCTGTTAGATATGTTTCACTATTATTGTGCATTGGTTAGAGACGATCTACGAGTATGAAACGTGAAGATTAAGTATAGAACTGTAACCGCTAATGGCCGCATTCTGCCGCATACAGAGACGAGCAGCATCGACATGAAGAGAGTGTTCCTCTCGCAGCTCGAGATGATGATACGACTTGGCAAACATCCGAACATCACCGCACTGCTCGGCATCAGCGAGACACCAGGTGAGTCACTCCAGCCGAGCATGATCGAAGCCTTGGCTAAAGCAAGATATTAAAAGCAAGAGCGAGATTATATCAAAAGCAAGAGCGAGATTATAACAAAAGCAAGAGCGAGATTATATCAAAAGCAAGAGCGAGATTATATTTGCGATATTCATGAAAACAAATGATTGACACTGTTTTCAGCATGTTGGTTTTAAATTCACCAGTGCACAAAATGTTTTCCTATAGGAAGGGGGGGTATTCCTAGTTTTATCTATATATATATATGTGTGTGTATATAAAGATCATGTTCCTTTTTCTTATGCCATGTACAATCGTGTATACGTTCCCCTTCTTGATACCTGACAGCACCGTAGATGGCAGCATGAGTCATCCACGTTCCCCCGTGTTTGTTTCCCCGTAGAGAGTAATGTACTGTGTGTTACATATCTTGTTGTGTGTTAATCACTTTGCGTGTTACAGATCTCCGTCATTTGTGATGTCATCCTAGAATGAATAAAGCGATATCTGAAAACAGTATTCCATACTGTGAATTAAGTTCATCTGTTTGTTATAATCTAATAAATGAATAAGTTCTTTTTAACCGAACAAGAATTTAAACGTACCGTAAACGTTTCGACATCCAATTGGACAAGTATTCCCAATACTTATTCACCCCCGCAGATGTCGGCGGTGCCCGTGTTCTCCTACAACCCGCTGGTGATGCCCAACGTGAACAAGTACACGGTGACGTACACGGTGCCGCCGAACACGTTCACCTACAGCATCGCCAACCTGCTGCCGGGCACTGAGTACGTCATCAACGTGATGGCGCGCAACGACGCCGGCCGCGGCAACCCGCTCATGCGCAACATCTGGACGCTCATCGGAGGTGGGTTCGCTCGGGGGAAGCTACATATGACAGTGTATACACACGCACACACACACACATATATATATCAGGGATTAATAATGACAAATTAACAAAATGACATATGACAATGACAAATGACATGATGACAATTTGTCGTTATTAACCCCTGATATATATATATAATGCCTCTCGTAGCTCGTAGCCATGGGTTGTGTTACCGTAGCGTGCCACTAGTAGGCATTATGTGAATGGCCCAGGCAGGTCACCATTACTTTAGTTTTATATTTTCGATCGGTTTGAATAAAGCAACAGTATTGTCTTGTCTTGTCTTAATTTGAAATTTGTGTAGTCTATAACGTATTGACATCATATTATAGGGTGTAGTGAGTTGGTGACACGTAGCTACTTGTCGTAATATTGCGATATTCATGAAAACAAATGATTGACACTGTTTTCAGCATGTTGGTTTTAAATTCACCAGTGCACAAAATGTTTTCCTATAGGAAGGGGGGCATTCCTAGTTTTCAAGATTTTAAAATAAATAAGCCATTTGCCAGTTCCCGGTTAATTAAAATTGCTATTTCAGCTTTCCTGCGGTTCCCGGATAACTATAATTGTCTAATTCCGCGTACCAAAAATAACCATTCCCCCAACCCCTAGTATATATATCGTTCGGTATCATGTGATCTGTACATCTGTTCTGTGCTTTGTAGACCCGAACAAGCCACCATCACCGACGATAACGGAGCGTGTTGAGAAGTCGATGACCATCTATCTCCCACCTGCATACTCAATCAATGGCCCAATCACGTAAGTCCTACAGTTGCGCCGCAACTGCAAGTGGCACTCAGCATATCCTAATCTCCTCACCTAAGTGACCTTACTCCACTTCAGCAGTGGTAATGTCACTGAAGATCGATGTATGATCTTTTGGTCAGCTGAGGTCATGGGGTGAAAGTCACCACTCCACCAGTTGTGTAAAGCAGTAGCATTGTTGTCATTTATTTCCTAGAGTTAACTTACTAATATATATATAATAATTAGATAAATTGATAGGTACGACATACACTTATATTGACTCTAAAACATGTTTTTGAGAACTATTTTCTGCAGAAAGTTTGCACATGGGGCAGCACGAATTATGGTCAGCATAGTAACGAAAACTTTATTCTGTGATCTTGTAATATGCTACAGCTGCCTGTGCCAGAGATGCTATATTGCCAATGATGTCACCCTGAAGATAAGACATTGTTATTATGTGAGGCCCAGCTTTGTATGTATTTAGCAGACATGCCACCAGGTAGCAACATCATCTGGACTCGCGACAGACCAGTATTATTTGTTTTATAACATAGTCAGACTTCTTTCACTAACCATATTTCTTAAATATCTCAGGTTGTGTCATAGTGTCATGATCAGCGTTCGAAATTAGTGCCGACCCGGAGAGCCGAGGCCACCAAGTTTTTGCTTCGGCCACCAACTCTACAAAACTGCCGGTCCTCCTCACCAGCACTTTTTCCCCTCATATTACGCTGAAATACTACGGTTATTGCAACGGCAGTTTAGACAGACTTGTAACCGGGAGGGCATTCTAATATGCTCCGTTCTTGAAGGTAGACGGTGTGTCTAAAACATCTAGAGCCGAGGGCATGAACTCCCTCAACGCATGATTCGCCACACGCACAAAACCTCGTGACAGTCAAAGAAATCGATTGCGGCATGTAGCGTAGCTCAGTGTTTTTATAACCTCATAACAATAAGTTCATATGTCGCAGGGGTTATCGTGGGGAGTGAGGGCACGACCAGTGACACCTGACAATCACGTAATCAAAGCTGTTAACTGAATTCGTCAATTTTCTTTATGCAGAAAGTGGACTATTTTTATTCAGTTAGATATCTAGAAGCAATGTAAACTGTATATACTTCTATTTCATCAAGATTCTAGGCACTTGTGACTTTGCGGATGTGCGGCACCATTGATCTATGCATGGGGGTACCGAGGACTGGGGAGGCAAAAAATGAAAGTAAACCTTTTCCCAGAAGCTCCCCCGACATTCCTAGAGTTGAAATATATTATTTGACCAACTCTCAGTTACATGTATGCTGTTGATGCCAATGATTATTTTTGTATACTATTTTGTTACTCACTGCTAGTAAATAAGCGGACCACCAACTTTTGTGCAGGACCACCAACTTTCTGAAGTGCTGTCCACTAGATTTTCAGCTAAAATTCGAACCCTGGTCATGATGCATGCTTATAAAAATGTGTGTGTGTGTGTGTGTGTGTGTGTGTGTGTGTGTGTATTTCAGTGGGTACCATGTGGTGGTATTTGACATCAGCTCACCCGTGCAGTTTGATCCAGCCCAGCTGCTGGATTACAATAATGCCCCGGCCATGGGATTGCCTTACTATCTGAGTAAGATCGCTTCTTATATACTACCCGATTAAAAACACTTCTAAATGTACCTTTGTAGGTGTGATACTTTCTATTATTACATATCTGAGTGAAAGTATCACTTTTCTCCTATTGAGCAGGAGCCTTAACTTATTATCTGAATCAAGATATATTTAAAATTTGATTTAGATTACTTATTATTCACCACCCAAGTTGGGGTATGTACTGTATCCTTGACTCGCTAGTGCCACATTGTCCTTCCCATGCACAGACTCAGAGTGGCTGACCTCTGACATTGCCCATGTCTGTTTGGAGCCACCCATATTCACAGTTTGTGTGACCGTGCCCTAATATCACCTGTTGCCTCTGATCTTACCAGCTGCCAACCTGACCAAGCTAGACGTTATGAAGTTGAAAAGCTACTTCACGATCGGAGATTACCTGACGTACGGTGGATTCTTTAATGGACCTCTCGACCCATCCAAGAATTATGCCGCCATCTTTGGTGCTGTCAGCTCTCAAGAAGGGGTATGTATACAAAAAGAAATGGTGCGTTTAAATGCCTATATGCATGCACGCAGGCACAAACACATAATGTAAATGTAATAATTATAGTCAAGCCATCAAGGCCATCTGATCATATTTTTGCATTTGACTATATGAAAGCCTTGGTAACAATGTGCTGCCTTCATGGCCCAATCAAAGATACCTGTCATGCTTTGTATTAAGCATCAACATAAATCATACATGGTTGTTGCTTGCTGTTATAGATCACCAAGGTTGCATACAGTGCATTCAGAGAGGAGGAGAATGACAAAGTACCTCTCGTCGTAGGTGAGTGCGTGACCAGACACGTGGTTCAAGTTGTCGTCCCAAGCAGTAGACGCTATTGTCAAAAACCTGTCACAACATGCGTAATCGACTCCAATCGACATCCGGGGATAAATTCCCCCGATTACCCAACACATCTGAAATCCCCGAGGGGAATCCTGTCGCTCATTCACGCCTGGTCGTCGTTACAGATGGCAGCAGCGGAGGACGGGCCGTGGATGGAGGTGGAGGCGGCGGCGGTGCCTCCCCGGCCGGCGGCGACAGCAAGAGAGGAGTGAAGATTTTGGGAGGGCTGATCGGGTTGCTGCTGTTCGCGTTGCTCGCCGTTGTGCTCATCTACCTCTTTCTGCGCCTCGTCTACTTCAAGCGGCGGCCGAAGCTGGACGAACAGGAGCTGACTCGCACCACGAGCGTGCAGGCAATCAGGGTAGGGGGTAGGATCAAGGTGGGTGGTAGGATCAGGGTGGGTGGTAGGATCAGGGTGGGTGGTAGGATCAGGGTAGATGGTAGGATCAGGGTAGGTGGTAGGATTAGGGTGGGTGGTAGGATCAGGGTAGGTGGTAGGATAGGGTGCGCAGGATCAGGTAGGGAATGCAGGGTGGGTTCGGGTGGTTAGGATGCAGGGTAGGTTTGGTAGAATCCAGGGTAGGTGGTAGGATTAGGGTGGGTGGCAGGATCAGGGTAGGTGGTAGGATCAGGGTGGGTGGTAGGATCAGGGTGGGTGGTAGGATCAGGGTAGGTGGTAGATCGAAAGGTAGGTGGTAGGATCAGGGTGGGTGGTAGGATCAGGGTAGGTGGTAGTATCAGGGTAGTTGTGATTAGAGTAGTTGGTAGGATAAAGATAGGTGGTAGGATTAGGGTGGGTGGTAGGATCAGGGTAGGTGGTAGGATCAGAGTAGGTGGTAGGATCAGAGTAGGTGGTAGGATCAGGGTAGGTGGTAGGATCAGGGTAGGTGGTAGGATTAGGGTGTGTGGTAGGATCAGGGTAGGTGGTAGGATTAGGGTGGGTGGTAGGATCAGGGTGGGGTGGTCGAGGATGCAGGGTATGTGGAGGATATGGGTAGGGTGGTGGATCAGGGTAGGTGGTAAGGATCAGGGTGGGGATGGTAGGATAGGGGTACGGTGTAGTAGCCAGGGTAGTTGTGATTAGAGTAGTTGGTAAGGATCAGGATAGGTGGTAGGATGCAGGGTGGGTGGTAGATAGGGATAGGTGTAGGATCAAGTAGGGTGGTAGCATCAGGGAGTGGTGAGGATCAGCGGTGAAGGTGGTAGGATTAGGGTGTGTGGTAGGGATCAGGGTAGGTGGGTAGGATAGGGTGGGTGGTCAGGATCAGTGGAGAAGGTGCAGGTAGGTAGGATCAGGGTAGGTGTAGGATCAGGGTGGGTGTAGGATTAGGGTGGGTGGTAGGATCGTAGGGGTAGGTAGGTCAGGTAGGTGTAGGATTAGGTAGGTGGTAGGATTCAGGGTGGTGGTAAGGTCAGGGTAGGTGGTAGCATCAACGTGGATGGGCAGATCAGGGTAGTGGAGGCATTAGGGTGGGTGTCAGATTCAGGGTGGTGGTAGATCATCGGTAGGTGGTGTAGGATTTAGGGAGGTGGTAGGATCAGGGTAGATGGTAGGATCAGGGTAGGTGGTAGGATCAGAGTAGGTGGTAGGATCAGGGTAGGTGGTAGGATTAGGGGGGTGTAGATCAGGGTGGGTGGTAAGGAATCAAGGGTGGTGGTAGGATTAGGGTGGGTGGCAGGATCAGGGTAGGTGGTAAGATCAGGGTAGGTGGTAGGATCAGGGTGGGTGGTAATATCAGGGTAGGTGGTAGGATCAGGGTAGGTGGTAGGATCAGGGTAGGTGGTAGGATTAGGGGTGGGGTGGTAGGATCAGGGTGGGTGGTCAAGATCAGGGTAGGTGTAGGAATCAGGGTAGGTATAGGATTATCGGTCGGTAGGATAGGTAGGATAGGTAGGTTAGGATCGAGGGTAGGTGTAGTATCAGGGTAGGTGGTAGGATCAGGGTGGGTGAGGAATCAGGGTAGATGGTAGGATCTAGGGTAGGTGTAGGATCAGGGTAGGTGTTAAGGATCAGGGTAGGTGGTAGGATCAGGGTAGGTGGTAGGATCAGGGTGGATGGTAGGATCAGGGTAGGTGGTAGGATCAGGGTAGGTGGTAGGATCAGGGTAGGTGGTAGGATTAGGGTGGGTGGTAGGATCAGGGTAGATGGTAGGATCAAGGGCTAAGGTGGTAGGAATTAGGGTGGGTGGTAGGATCCAGGGTAGATGGTAGGCAATCAGGGTAGGTGGTAGGATCAGGGTAGATGGTAGGATCAGGGTAGGTGGTAGGATTAGGGTGGGTGGTAGGATCAGGGTAGGTGGTAGGATCACGGTGGATGGTAGGATCAGCGGGTAGTGGTAAGGATCAGGGTAAAGGTGGTAAGATGCAGGGTAGGTTGGTAGGATCACGGTGGAATGTAGGGATGCAGGGTAGGTGTAGGATCAAGGGTAGGTGGTAGGATCAGGGTAGGTGGTAGGATCAGGGTAGTTGTGATTAGAGTAGTTAGTAGGATCAGGGTAGGTGGTAGGATCAGGGTGGGTGGTAGGATCACGGTGGATGGTAGGATCAGGGTAGGTGGTTATAGGATCAGGAGTTGGTGGAGGTTAGTAGGATCAGGGTAGGTGTACGATCAGTGGTAGGTAGTAGGATCAGGGTAGGTGGTAGGATCAGGGTAGGTGGTAGGATCAGGGTAGGTGGTAGGATCAGGGTAGGTGGTAGGATCAGGGTAGGTAGTAGGATCAGGGTGGGTGGTAGGATCAGGGTAGTTTTGATTAGAGTAGTTGGTAGGATCAGGGTGACATATATTAGGGTAGGTGTAGGATTCAGAGATTTTCGAAGACTGGACACGGAGGCTCAGGACCGTGCGGCCGCGTGCCCAGCACGCGCGTTCGCCGCGATCCAAATTAACGTAAAAACCAGTGGCAGCCGCTCTGCTACGCAGGACGCGTAAGGCGAGATGACAGCCCTTGTGTTTCTTGGCAGAGCGACGACACGCTCGAGCGCGACGACCTTCTACAGCGCGCTCGAAGGACGCAAGTGGCTGAGCTGATACCGCAGGATGAGCGCTGCGTCTCGGGCAGCGGACGAGCTGGGTGTGGGAAAGTTCGGGCGAGGTGAAAGAAGGCGAAGGTGGCGAACAGCCGGGTAGCGCGGCGTGACGGCGGTATCTCGTGGGCCTCTGTCAAAACGTAAGACGACGGTGTACCTGGTGCTCGCGGTCAGAAGTGAAGCTGTCCAAACGATTTCTTTTCACACTTTTGATGTTACGGTGACGTTTTATAATGACGTATATTATGTAGATTTGTGTAAGCAAATCTACATGAATATGATGTATGACAGTGTAATGACGTATATATACGTTGATATGATGTATAATTATGTCAGATTTATCGTAATATCTAACATAAATACTGATGTAATGAGCATATATATATATATATATATATATATATATATATATATATATATATATATATATATATATGATATATTATTATATATTATATATACAGGTTGATAATGAAATCATATTATGTGAGCGCTGATGTGCGCGTGGATTCTGCCTCGTGGCTAGTGATTGAAACAGATGCCTGTATAGATAATGTTTCATGGCGTATTATTGTGGCATTGGTTAGAGAGCCGATGCTACGAGTATGGAAGCGTGAAGATTAAGTATAGAACTGGTAGACCGCTATGGCGCGCTATTCTGCCGCATACAGAGACGAGCCAAGCATCCGACAATGAAGAGTAGTGTTCCTCTCGCAGACTCAGAGATGATGATACGACCTTGGGCAAACATCGCGAAACATGCACCGCACTTGGCTCGGCATCAGCCGAGACAGCCAGGTGAGTGCACTCCAGCCGAGCATCGATGCGAGCCTTGGCTAAAGCAAGATATTAAAAGGAAGAGCGAGATTATATGCAAAAGCAATGAGGCGAGATTATAAAAAAGCATAGAGGCTGAGATTATATCAAAGCAAGAGCGAGATTATATCAAAAGCTAGAGCGAGATTATATCACAAGCGTGAATGAGATTATATAAAAAAAAAGCAAGAGCGAGATTATATCAAAAGCAAGAGCGAGATTATATCACAAGCATGAGTGAGATTATATCAAAAGCTAGAGCGAGATTATATCAGCAAGCATGAGTGAGGATTGATATCAAGAAGCAAGATTTAAAGGAGCGGAGATTCATATCAATAAGCAAAGAGGCGGAGATTATGTTCAAAAGCTAGAAACGAGGATTAATTCACAAGCACAATGAGTGAATTATTATCAAAAAGCATGAGCGAGATATAGCTGCAAAAGCAGAGCGAGATTCTAGCAAAAGGCAAGAGCGAGAATTAATATCAAAGAGCCTAGAGGCGAGATTATATCAAAAGCTACGAGCGAGATTATATGCCAAAAGATACGAGTGAGATTATATCAAAAGCTAGAGCGAGATTATATCACAAGCATGAGTGAGATTATATCAAAGCAATTTAAGAGCGAGATTATATCAAAAGCAAGAGCGAGATTATATCAAAAGCAAGAGTGAGATTATATCACAAGCATGAGTGAGATTATATCAAAAGCTAGAGCAGATTATATCACAAGCATGAATGAGATTAATATCAAAAGGCAATGAGCGAGATTAATATCAAGGCAATGAAGCGAGATTATATGCAAAAGCAAGAGCGGGTATTATATCAAAGCTAGAGTGAGATTATATGCATAAGGAAAAATGAATGAGATTATATCAAAAGCAAGAGCGAGATTATATCAAAAGCTAGAGCGAGATTATATCAAAAGCTAGAGCGAGATTATATCACAAGCATGAGTGAGATTATATCAAAAGCTAGAGCGAGATTATATCAAAAGCTAGAGCGAGATTATATCAAAAGCAAAAGCGAGATTATATCACAAGCATGAGCGAAATTATGTCAAAAGCAAAAGCGAGATTATATTAAAAGCACAATTTATCCTGCACTGTTGAGAAATGCTAGCATAGCAACTGACAACTTGTCTCGTTGTGTTGTAAAATTTCGTTAATAAGCATTGTTCTTTGAAATGCTGTATTACAACAACGATTATCTAGTGCTTTATGTCAATCGTCCCATTTGGATGGGTCAGATGGCATTATTTTATACTGATATTGTAAGCCATTGTGTGCTCTGTTGGGGTTGATACACATACACGCGTGATGCAATTCATCGAAGAAATGGCTCTCCCTGTCAGCATTAACCCAAACCTCTTAACCCAAAATCTGCAATCAGTCATCATCGTCGACACGTTTATAAAATCGCGCGCGTGGCTACTGTACACTGCAATTCGTCCTGTCCTGTCCTTTGCGTCTGCTGCAAGTCACAGCAATGTCTCGGGTTTTAGCGACGCCCCCTGCACCATCGCAGCGATGTCTAGGGTTTTCGCGACGCCCCCTGCGCCGTTGCAGCGATGTCTCGGGTTTTCGCAACGCCCCATGCGCCGTCGCAGCGATGTCTCGGGTTTTCGCGACGCCCCCTTCGCCGTCGCAGCGATGTCTCGGGTTTTCGCGACGCCCCCTTCGCCGTCGCAGTGATGTCTCGGATTTTCGCGACGCCCCCTGTGCCTTCGCAGCGATGTCTTGGGTTTTTACGCGATGCCCGCTCTGCACCGTTTCAGAGTGCACGTATGCGGTGCTGGAGCACGCTCCCGTGCCCAACCTGCGTGACAAACTGCGCTCAACGCGCACCAACACCAAGACCGGAGGTCGCGTGTCGACGCTGATGGACGAGCAGCTGTGGATCATTGCGGTGGGCGTCGCCCAGGGAATGAAGCATCTGTCGCAGAACAGGGTAATGTAGAGCGTGCAGGGGGGGGGGGGTCATTGGGTTAGTGTAATTTTTATCCTGGAAGGATTTGGGAGGAGCAGTCCCACTGGATATGCTGTAGAAGTGTGATCCTATTTTATTTATATATACATGCATGCATGCACGCACGCTCTCACGCACACGTACACACCCACATATACTTAAATATATATATATATATGGAGGAAAACCGAAATTGCAATTTTAGCAACTGTGAAACTGGAAATATTTTGAACTGGGAATGGACTTCCCCCCCCCCCACCTCTCGTAATGTAATGAACAAGCTCACGTCTGTTCCTCGCATCTCCACAGGTGACACACCAGCAGCTGGCCGCTCGTAATATAGGTCTCACAGACAGAGGCATTCCTAAGATTGCACAGTATAGCCTCGGTAGATACAGCACACAGAAGCAGGTGAGATGATACGGTCGAAGCGCCATGTTGAATCTTCTTCTTGAAACTTCCACCTCCTGTTTTCTACCAGGTGTAGGTGAAGAAAATTCCTTGCTGAATCTATATGAATATTCCAGTAAACGTTTTTTTTCCTGTAGACGTGTTTCAGTCCAGTGTGTTAATAAAGGTTACTATGTTGAATTTACGTTTCAAATGTGTAATTAGAAGAATGGTGAGGTGATGTTGTTTGTAATAGAAGGTAGGAGGAAATCTCGTGTCTGTATTTTAGGATGGCGGCTACATGCGCTGGCTGTCGTTAGAGAGTCTCAGCAATAGGACCTTTACGACTAGAAGCGATGTCTGGTCATTTGGAGTTGTTCTCTGGGAGATATTCACCATGGGTGTGTATTTGATAATATCACAAGTGATAACTATATGTTCGTGTCCAGAAATACATCCAATGGAAGAAGGATGACTGTCCTCCACATTGATTTTTCGACACATGTGACATCCCACACTTTTGATACATTTGTTACAAGATTTTCAAGAGTTTTGTAAAGAATATCACCACACTGTGTATGCGTAAACTCAACAGACTACAGTCGCAACTTGTAATAATATTTGACGGGCGCCGTTCGACGTCGCTCCTCATGTTTCCGTGATTTGCTTACCAGGTGGCACGCCCTATGCCGGGGTACATAGCAGAGAGCTCGCCGATAAACTGAGGAGCCACGTGCGTCTACCGCGGCCCTGCGGCAGCTCCGAGGACCTGTGAGTACCACGTTATTATGGGCAACCGGTGACGTCACCGCTCTAACGACGAGTCGCGAGTGCGAGCGGGAGGGTACATTAACTCGCGCGGTTTGCGTGGCCAGTGTTTGTCACGCGGCATATAGTGCTGCGTTAACGCGCGTTTTCACCCTCCTCTCCCAAACTGGATGACGGTCTATTATGGGATAACACCAGTGAACCAGATACCGGTCTGTCTCGGCTTGGCTTCTACTACTCGATGCGATAATATAGTGACCCAGAAGCGTAGCGAATCCATTTTTCTTGGGGGGGGGGCAAAGCCATGTACATGGTGTGTTCTGGGAAGGTGACCACCTTTGACCATGTATTGTACCTACTTTTTTTCTGGGGGTGGGGCAACTGCCCCTGTGCCCCCTGGCTAGTTACGGCCCTTAAAATTAAAAGTCTTATTACAGGTTGAATTCTGCTCAAGGGGATATCAGTCAAACGTGTATGTAAGGGTCACTCATGGGATATACCATACATCCATTATAGATCAGTGTCTATTCTATAGAGGTAGATTACCTTATAGACAGGTGTCAGTTTTATAGAGGTTTCCACAAACATAGGTTTGACTGTACCAATTGATCATGGTTTAACTCTCCCCGGGACAGGAGGTTGGCCTAACGTTTGAAGATTCCTCATCCTCACTTTCACTGGTACAGGTTTTGCAAATCCCTCAGATCGTATACCAATGAATTCAATTTGGTGTTCGTGATACACAATAATGTTTTCTTCTGTATGCACAGATACCAGCTAATGCTGAACTGCTGGGAGATGGATCCAGATAACCGTCCTGATTTTCCGGAATTGGCAGCTGCCTTGCAGACGATGTCTTCTGACAAGGTATGTTTCCAGCTGTTGTCTTACATGGGCACAGTCATGTAAAAGGGGAATCGGTCTTTAAATCAGGCTTGATTTAAATGGCACTATATCTAATTTGCAACTATTTTGACACTGCTAAGGCAGTGTATAGCTGTGCTAACTATTACTATTAGTGCAAGTAGCTGGACCGAGGCCTAGACCCAGTACAAGCAATGTTTCTGGAATATAGTTAACATTTATA